TTTTTTGTTTTTTTTTTTTTTTTTTTTTTTTTTTTTTTTTTTTTTTTCCGGTCCAGGTATCAAACACTCAGGTCCTTGAGCTTTCAAGGCAGGCACCAGAACCACTGAGCTAAATCCCCAGCCCAATTTAAGTTTTTTTAACACAAAAAAATTTTGTAACACTTGAAAAATGATCTGACTGTGTAAACTCCTTTAATTTTTCTAGTTTTTTCCCATCACATTTCAATTCTTTCCAAAACATTACATTACTTTTTTAAAAAATGATTCTCCTTCTATACTCATAATTTCTTCATTAAATATATTGCAACCATGTTGCAAAATTACAAATACAATAGACAGAAACAGATGTGGAAACCAACTCAACTGATTCTTGGTAAGCATATAGCTCAACACCTGAAAGCAGGATGGTTTGGATGACCTGCAGAGCAATCACTAACAGGGATATTCAGTGAAGCAAGGTGTCCACAGGTATCCTGTACAAAGAGCAGGGAGACTCTCTGTCCTTCTGGTAAATCATCTAAGAATTCCCATTTGATTTACATCAATGAAGTCATCATGAGTTTCATAGGCCCAGATTGCTAAGTGCCCGTCCCCAACCCTCCAGTGATTACATTTGAAGAAGACATTTCTGTGAGTTTCTAAGGGCTTTTGTAACAGATGACCACAAACAGCATGTTTTGAAAATCAGAAGTCCAAAATCAAGGCTTCAGCGGTTCGTGACACCGCCAAAGGCTCTAGAAGAGAATTCTTTCTTGCCTCTCCTAGCTTCTGAACAACCAGACATTACAGCTTCAAAGACCTTGCTTCCAAATAAGGTCACATTTGTAGGCTCCTGGAGACCGTGAAGTTTTGGCAGAAACTATTGATCTGGTATTCCACACTTTGACTAGACCTCACCTCGATGCCTCAAACATGTTACTTCCTGTCTATAAATCCACTTAATAAACAGCTGCTGAATGAATTTATAAGGAAACACTTTCAGAGGGCAAAGCAAATAATGGGTAGGTTGGGACAGTTGAAGGGCTGAAGATATAGATTTTTGCCTGAAATAAAAGCTTTCAAGTAACTGAAGACATGGTAAGGAAATGCACTGCCTCTCTCTTGTACTAAAAGTGCTTAAACAGAAATCCATCAATAGAAGATTGGCCTATGCAGTTTCTAAAGCACCTTCCAGCTCTAATCTTTCTTTCATTCTCTGATAGATAAATGATAGATGACATTTGTTTTACCTTTTCTTCCAGCATGGATTCAAACATCATTTTAAGAATTTAAAACATATATGCATGATGCCAGCTCCTTAATCCCTATGAAGTGGTAATTAAACCCTCATGAGAATCCATATGAACCAGTAAAATAGTAAAAGAAACCACTGGATATTTGCTAAATGATTGGCTTTCCTTTTTCTTGGACACACAGCTCATTGCATTTCCCAGTGTCACTTGTTTAGAGGCGATCAGGTGATAGAATACAGGGTGAAGTGATGTGGGACACTTCCAGCCTATTGAAAGCACTCAGGTTTGCTCTGTGCTTCTGCTTTCCCCTCTTAATAGCCTGGAAAGGGAGGGAATGTCCAACACTTGCAATCTCAGAGCACTAACAGGCTTCCAATAAGCGAAAATCACAGCTTGGAGAAACAAAACAATCTTAGCTATGAATATAGTTTGTGACTTCCAAAGCTCATATCTACCTGACAAACCCTTATTTCTTGGTGTTTAATTTCTCTCATAAGAAAGAAGTTAAATTTAACTAAATTAATCCACTCAAATTAGTTGGGTTAATTAACTTAATTTTTACCCTAGGGAGAATTCATGAAAAAATATTTTTGAGAAATACTGCTTGAAACAACCATGAAAAGCACTTGTTCAAGACAGTGGAGCCTGTGCCAGCCTGGGCCTCTGAATGACTAACTGAAGGAGAGGTATCTTGGGTGTTACAAAATACCATGAGTGAATGTGGAATTTCTCTTGTGTTGGAACCATCATACATTTGAGAGACCACCTGATATAGTAAGTAGCCCACCCTAAGTACTACATGGTATCTCATCCATGTCACACATGGAGAATAATGAGCTCAAAGAGTATAAGCCCGGGGTCAAGACTGACATGTGTCTGATTCAGAACTCAGACTTTGTACTGTTTCTTAGTCAGCTATCAGAAGCTCATGTTTCCATTGCATGAGACCACTTCCAGTCTTATTTCCTGGAAAATGTGAAATGCAATCTCTAGTGTGAGGACTAAAGTTATGCTATTTTCAGTTGTGCTATTTTTATGCATTCAGAATTGATAAATGCTTTCAGAAATCTTAACTTTAAACCATGTGTGCAAAGTTGATCTGCAGAAATTCTGAAGGGTAATGTATGTAAATAAATTAATAACTGTTTGATAGACACAAAAACAAGATGCATCAGGAACGGATAAAACTTATAAAAAAAATTCAAGTATGGATGAGCAATGGTCAGCAGGCTGTGGAATGTGGTTTCATATCCGCTAGAAAACATCAAAGTGTTCCCTGCTGAAAATGCAAAGCCAAGTTGAGGATGTCATGAGAGATCGTATCAGTCACACAGGTGTAAATATCAAATAGTTTCTCTGGTGTGAAAAACTGTAATAGTACATAAGATCCTAATGATATAATTGACAATGTGAAATAGGAAGAAAAGGGCTAAAGGTGTAGGGAAAGTGGGAAGGGTAGGGGAAAAGTAATAAAGGAAAAGTAAAAAAATGAGAAAATGAAAATATGGAAATGATGTGTTTGCAAATAGGGAAGGAAAGAGAGGGTGAAGGGAGGGCAAGGACAAGGGGAAAAAATGAGAACCAAGACCTGTCATGTAAAGGTGCAAGATCCCAGTGATGAATGTAACTGTACTGTATACCTAAAATGTACCAATAAACTCAATGAGAGGGGAAAAAAAGAAATTATTTTGGAGCTTTCGTCCTTCTAAGAACCTGCCTATGTAAGATCACTTCCCAGACAATGACATGCTTTATCTTACAGTTGTGAATCTATGATTTTAACATGGGTATTTTAAAGAATGTGCCCATGTGTACATTGTCCTGCTCCTAAAACTATTCTCAATTCCCACAGAAGTCTTAAGGAGCGTCTCATTGTTCTCTGTGCAGATGCATATGTCTTTAGAGGAGTGTGCATCTTAGAATTACTGAATACAAAAGGATAGGAATAAAAATTGTTGGCTGACAAAGTCCACTGCGATGACGGATGGAAATGGCATTGTTCAAATCTTTCTAATTCTCTCTCCAAGCTTTATTGTATGCTCTTTTCAGATGGGCCTTGGATACACAACTGAACAGTGCTCTCTAGAGAATCCCCCTCTTTTTTGCTTCATTTTTATTCCATTGCTACTTACATAAGTTAATTTACTATACTGAGACTTAGCCACATCACATCCCAACCTGAAATACAGTAAGTATGGGAGTGGGAAATGGAACTATTGAATGCTACGTGGAGATTATAAGCTGTTTTAGGTGAAAGTTGGGGACAGAATTATTGCTTGTCTTTTACTCATATGTATTTTTAAAGGTACTACAGCTTTGGAACATATTTTCAGATGCAAAATTAACATCATAGAGAATCACCAGGTTCCCTGTTTTTATATTTAATGTCAGCTCTTCTGTATGTTGTGAGTAGCCTTACCTTTTAGCATTTAAGAGATAAAGCTCTGTGTTAAATTTTCCAATTATTACCTGTCTGGTACAGTTGCAACAGGACCATATCAAGTATTGGAGTTTTACTTGGGAAACGTAATTACAGTTTGAAAAATAGTAGAAAATGCATTCCTATCACATCCTTAGTGGCAGTTTATATGCTAAAAAGAAAAACGCTTAGGGCCTAATTCATAAGAGCTTTATGCTTCATTTACATTTTTCTGTGCAGTTTACTTGGA